CGATTTCTAATGTAGATCCCGCATGAAGTTGGTTCTACATTAATCGCATCGCAGCGTCGCAAGTGTTACGGTCCAATCAACTTCAATCTAGCTCGACTCTGATTGGATCACAACGCTTGCGACATGCTTGCGACACTGCGATGCGACACTAGAACCAGCTTTAGAGATACTAGGTTTGTCGCGTCGCAAGCTCCAACATGCTCCAATATGCTCCACCATAGCTCCTACTCACTCTATCAAGCGCGTTGGAGTGAATAAGAGCTATGATGGACATGTTGGAGCATGCGACAAACCTTCTGTTTCCAATTTTCTAGAATATTGCTGGATTCACACTGCATCCGATTAGCCAGAACGAGAATGTGCATGGCCCACATGTGACTCGGTTGGCGCTGTTTAGTACCGGTGTTGCTTTTGTAGGTTAAGTTGAAGTTACTTGATAAATTCGTCATATCGATCATTATTTCAAATAGTATTGTGACGTAATTGTATAAATAATCACAATATGGTCGTGTTTACTTGCAACCATTGCGGCGATTCATTAAAGAAGCCCAAAGTGGCTGTACATTATCAGCAGATATGCCGGAATTCACCCTTCGTAACCTGCGTGGACTGTCTAAAGGATTTTCGGTAAGAATTTAATTAAAAGAAGTAGCTCTTTTTTCAATGTAGGAGCAACCTCAAATTTTTCTGAAACATATTTTAAAGTGAAGAAATTTTAGAAATACCTAAAATCGAATTTTTTTTATGTATCTATTCAAGTATCACGTTTGAAGTATCAAATTTTTAAAGAATCAATAAGGACATGCCTTTGCTAAGAATTTAATAAGTTTCTAACGTCAGTCGATACTAATAATCATATTAATATTTTTAACTTTAAGAGGTGACGAGTACGTTGCACACACCAAATGTATAACCGAAGCTGAAAGATATGGCGCAAAAGATTATGTTCCAAAGCCTAGCACAAATAAGGGCGAACGCAAACAGCAAGAATGGATTAACGTTGTTAATGATTTGTTGAATGGGACAGTGGAACTATCAAATATAGAGCGAAACTTTCTAAATACCTTATCGAAATATGAGAATATACCAAGAAAGAAGGCTAAATTTCTTAACTTTGTGAGCAATGCAATAGGCAATCGTATAAATGCGACAGTTGTAGAGAGTGTTTGGAGCAAAATGGAGAATGCACACAAGAAGAGTCACCAAGTTGCTACAAAAACTCCAGAGAAGGATCTTATACAAAATCGGGAGAATAAAAGTGAGTGTTTTTCTTATAATAAATTTGTTTAATGGAAGAACTTTTACAGCTATGTCTCAAAATTCACTGCCAGCAATGAAGATCTATAGTTTATGTTACATGCACTATAATTTTCAGTACTAAGGATAAATACAGCCTTTGTAATAGGTCTGTTTTTTATCATTGTATTGGATTGAATTAAAACTTTCTGTCGCTTTTGCCAAACTTTAGATATATCTATTTTATTTTGACTATCAGAAGATACAATCAATAAAAGTGTCATTCCATCTTCGAATGCTTTTAGTGATGCAAGTTGACAAACGTCGTTGTATCTTTCTTGATATTCCATAAATAACAAAGACGGAACAATATTTTTGTTAACTGATATCATTAAATGGAAAGATTTTTTTGTTATTTATTGATTGCCAAAAAGGATAGAACAATGTTTGAATCGACTAAAAGGAAAACAGTATTTTTATTTAAATATAAATATTCATCTACGAAGAACAGACTTAATATGAATTATATAAGAATGAGCAAGTCTTTTTAGCTGATCTTGCATGGTTCATTTTTTTTTCTCTAAAGTAGGAAAAAAAAGGAAGAAAGATAGACCAAGAAGTTCAACTAAAAGAAAGACTTAGTATTATATATAATAAGGATTTATAAAATACACTCAAGTTAAATATTTATTCTTCTTTATAGATAAAATGACATGTATCCAAAATATGGACTCTAATAACTCGTTTGACAATCAGAATCTCGCTGAAAATCAAAATAATGAAAATATATGTAAAGAAAATAATTCTGTGAGTCATCAAAATGAAAGTGATGAAGCATGTGGGATAACCAACGGTCACCTACATAAGAGGCAAAGTAAATCTAAAAAACGGAAATTGGAATCAATCGGCATCCAATCAGAGGAAGATCAAACAGTTGCAAAAATTAGTAAACAATCTAGTTCGGATAATAGAAGTGACGTTGCTACGTTCCGTTGGAAGAAAGCTATTTTATACGTTTTACAAGCTAAGGATGAAATTCCTTTAAAAAAACTACAAACTAAAGTTATGAAAAAATATATATGTTGCGTTTTTAACTTAAATGATACTTTCAAACTGACTGAATATGAAAAAGCTGTTGCAAAGTTTTCCAAAACAGTAGAAAAGTTACAAAAATTATCTGTAATATGTATGTCAGAAACTTCAAAAGTAAAATTACTATAGTTAAATTTATCTTTATACAAAATCAGAAAATGCAAAGCAAATGTTAATAAACATAAAAAATACATTTCACTTTATCATAGCAGGTTTTTTAAATGTTTTTATGAAATGTAGGACAGTAAATTAATTAATGCTGACGTCTTTTATCTATATCCAATTTTTGTCTTTTTATCATTCATAAATTTCATAATTATGTGTAGATGTATAAAAGTTTATAATAAAATGACTGTTATTTCATTTATTATATAAAAGTCTACTTTTTTAATACATAGTTTATGACAAATTATTTCTTACAATAAATTCTTAAATTAAGACAGCTGCTGGAAGATATGTGATCTTATTACGTACATGAGCACATATATTGATATTTTTAAAACACGAATATTTTATAAACAGAATTTAATATATACAACCTTAATTTTCTCTTGATACATTGACATCAAGTTATTCTTGATTAATGTGAATATCTGATCACACTAATGGAAAGTCATGCAAGAATTTTTCGGAATACCACGCATGATCGCTCATAGTCGCTAAAAGACCCTTTGTAAGTACTTTGGCGTCATTACTTCCAAAATAGATTGGTTGTTGATCGTATAACTGTGTCACTGTTCCTCCCAAAGCACTACAAAAAATATAAGAAATAAATAAATAACAAGTAAATTTTATGTAGTATTAAGGCAAAATACTTATAAATAGCAATACTTAAGAATTGCAGTGCCTGCACATATATCCCATTTTTTGATAGCAGTTGTATGAACGTACGCTGTCGCATTACCAACAGCTACTTCCAAAAATTTGTATCCTAAAATGAAATGTCTTATATTTATATATTCTATATAAAATTCCTAATGACAAAACTTGAAGGCATAAAAAGAATGTGAGGCTGAATAATGAAAAATTAAAAATAATGGGGAACTTAAAATGATTAGAAAAATACGCATCATGTGCAAAATTATGATGTCTTCACTTCCAGTCACGAGTTTTTAATAGCGAGTTATAGAAATAAAACTGCGTTATTGAAAAAAACTTCACCTGCACCAGCAGCAGAAATAATTTTAGCGTTGTCGCCAAAGGCAATTTTAGATGTATTTTTTACTTGTCCAGCGTGTGAAAGAGATACAATTAAAATAGGTGTTTTATTGTCTTTTACCTGTTCAAAAAAGATTAGCTAAATAATTTTTCAAAATTGATCATAACTTTTGTTAAATTACTTGAATTCAACAATTACCTTGGGCAAATTTTTCAAGTTTCTTGATACGCCATGATTGCTCCACGTCCAGAATAAACTGTAATTCTGTTTTGTCTCAAACGGTTTATATATAACACCAATAATTGGTTGTCCTTTGACGGCTATGCATACCATAGTAGATACATATTGCAGTAAATTTTCTAAAAACATAAGGCATTATGCAAAAACTATCAAACTTAGTTTATAAAAAGTTACATCAAGCTAGAAATATAAAATGTTCTAGAACCACTGAATACCCTTCCAATTTATTCAAAAAAGCTTTGTGTCTAATATTTGGGGAAAAAAAAGAACTTGATGGATCTGGAACATCTGGTATAAAGTTTTGATGTCTTAATGGTTTTCCAAAATTTCAATATTATATGTCAAATTACTGCGCCTACATGTTAAATTATTTATTAAGGAATAAGCTTTATCCGCAACATCTTAATATTTCTGAGATTGTTCATAATATGAATCTTACATTATTATAGAACTGGACATGATTATATCATATTAGGTCCAAAAAATTACTTTTATTGTTTGATCCTGAAAACAATCGATGCTTCTTCAACCTAGCCATAAACAATCGCGATAATATTAATTCCAAATTGCAATTGCAGGTAATACATTTGCTTTGTATTCATTGTTTATAAATCTAATCTTTGATTAGAATATCTTTCTTGTGAAATTTGTGACCAACTTATTGATTGTAACATGAATATGTTCAAACATAAAAATGTACAAATATTGGTCATCTTAAAAATAACTTCTTGCCATAAATAACCTGAAAAGTAATTTTGTTAGAAGTACTGGAATTTATAATGGCAAAGATGTACCTTTACCTGTAAATTCTTTGGTGGCATCTAGAGGATCTATCCAGATTGTTATATCATTAACATTTACAATATCGTCACTTATATCGTAACCTTCGATACTTTTAACAGAATTCTTAATGTCTTCAACTACAATTTTATCACAATCTTGTGATGTTTCTTCAGATATCACAGTAATCCCTGGAAATGCTTCTGTCAAAGAGCGATACATAGCACAGTGAGATCTATAATCTGCTGCTGTTACTGGATCATTTACGCCTTTAAGGGAGATACAGAAGAAAAATCATTATACATCACTGTTTTATATCAAAGTCCTTCGAATTAAGAAAACAGATTGTACAATATAGAAACATAATTCAAGAAATAGCAACGTTACAGAGACTATTATCTAATGTATCATCATATACAATTATATATCAAGTTACATATCAATGGTTACCTTCCTTCGTCTGACCTTTGCTCTCTATTTTAAATTTAGTTTGATCATGCACTGTTACCACTTGCAGTCCCCCAATCTCTGCCGCTCTTATCGCAGCGGCGAGAAGCTGCTTCAGAGATACATCTTTATCGTTCCCACGCCGATTCGTACAGAAGTAGATGATGCCTAAAAGTACGAGCGCGCACAAAAGTAGCTTTTGCGTACGCACGCTCATTCCGCCGTTTACTGGCGTATTAACGGGTGACCAGTCAGTCGTGAAACAGCAAGATTTATAGTGTGACTTTGCAAGCCTTCAATATGACCACAGGAAGCCTGTAAAAATAAACACATGATGTAACATACAATTTTTTATATATAAATATATATTACACACACTCACACGCGCGCGTGTGTATCTGTGTGTGTGTGTGTGACAATAAAAGCATAAAATCAATGTTTGTTAAACAAAAAAAAATCAATGATAACGAAACTTACTAATTGCATATACATTTAGTAAGTTTATACAACTATTGTATAACTTCATTACTACACATTAATAAAAGTATTAAAAAACAACGCTTTTTTTCACTGTACACTGACACGGCGCGATTTATTCATAACCTCTTCTACTGTACACTGTACGAGCATAGAAGAGGTTCAAACACGAGATAATGTTAATACAAACATGATTTGCGATAAATTTGTTTTAGATATTATCCCAAATGAACTCTTCTTCCTGCAGAATGAGAAAATCAACAAGTTTCCGAAATGTGACCTCCTTTTTAGTTAATTTTCACGGATAATTAATCATTATATATATAAAGAAGCCATTTATATTCTCGCTATTTTTAATCATACAGTAATTTACAGGAAATAAACAAGAGACAAAACAAGGGCTATTTACTTTGGTTGCACTTTTTACACTTTGTTTACATTTCTTTTTTATTTCTCTCTCTAAACGTGAACCTATTTCGGTTTAAATTCAGAAAATGTGATAGTTAAAATGATCAGACCAACATCTATTCGTCGCTTAAAAACTGGACATAAATGGCTCATAAATGTAATATGTGCTCTTTGCACTCTTATCCTACTCTCCTCGTTTGTTACTCCCAATAAATAATGTGTATTTTTAAAGTAGGCAAACTTATTAAATATTCAGGTTTTACACACAAATTCTAATATCGATACGATCAGTTTATTTTTAAAATACGCAAAAAATTCACGATCTCGACGTTTTGCAGATTTTTCAATAGAAAACAAGTTTCCGATATCTATTTCCGAACTTCTTCCCTCGACGTCTTTCCTATGCCTCTTTTTCTGAATTCTTTCCTACTTTTCGAGTTTTGATTTATACAATTCTAGAGAATTTACTGTGAGATGAAGGCTGTGTTCGCTTTGGCGTTCACAACGCTTTGAAGAAGGATGGAGAAGCGATTTGCGAATCGTTTGAGAATCGACCAAGCTGTGACTATATGAACACATGAAAGAGATTTTCAGATAAGGCGAAAAAGAATCATAAAGGGAAGAAGGCTGATTGTGAGAGAAGAAACGACAGACAAAAGTGGACTTACCGGAGGAAAAGCTAGATGAGAGGAAGATCGCGTCGATACACCACGTGTTCGATTTCTCTCTTTCTCTCTCTATCACGCGTCTTCAAAATGCGCAATTGCGTCCTTGCGTTCTGCTGGAACAGAAATCCATTATGTTTGCACATACATACACGTACACACAATATATATGTATATACATATATGCACGATATATGCACCACACACATATATATATATCTATTAAAGGGGTAGATTAAAAGGTGATATCTTCTGCGCAACATGCGCGCGTCTTTCGGAGATGGATAAGGAATCAGTTATCAGAAGGGACAGGGCTGCGTTCGGAAATGTTACCCGAGTGCCTCCATCGTTTTATCCTCGTTGCTCATCCAATGTTAAACAAGGATAATATGATATACGGGGACCCCCTGGAACGTTGTTGAACGCAGCCCAGGAGGCTGGAAAGGTGAGAAACGCAGGAAGAATTCGACGAAACACCATCCGACGATTAACCCTTTGAAGCATACCTTTTTCTGTGAAATTTGGTACACGGGAGTTTTTTCAGGTCGCTGATTACGAATCCAAAGTCAAAATATAAAAATATTGCATCCAAGATGGCGGATTCAAGATGGTGGATTAATTACAACTCAATTTATGCATTTCGCTTCCGCCATTTTGAATCAATAATTTTGAATTTTGGAAATCTCGTATCGGATTAATAATTAGCGACCACAAAAATCCCCT